GTCCGTACGCCCGTATGCCCGTTCATCCGTCCGTACGGACGGGCCGTACAGAGACCCCTCGTACGACGTACGTGGGACGACACTGTTAATGGGGATTGTGATGATAAGTGCATCCCACTGTGTGAGATTTTTTTTACCTTGATGATGAGCCAGAAAGGTCGGTCGCATTATGCTTGAAGTGGAGAAGAAGTGACAGTATGATTGTAGGTCAAAGTTTCAGCCGCCGAGTGAAGACATCTCGTTCATCCTCCCAGATGTGAGAGACAACCTGACGAGGTCTTACCTGACAAGGTCGGTTGTCAGGCCTGTCTAGACGTGGGCAGATCACGGACGAAAAGTCCCCCAGTCTTCTTTGTTGTTTCCAATATTATAAAATAATGAGAGGATCTTGCAAAGATTATCTATTTGAAGTGGAGAACGCTGTAACTTAGTTGGTGTTCGACAAATCAAGTCAACAAAGACCTCCTCGACATGGTATTTTCCCAGAAGGATTGGTCATGTTAAAGCGCTAGGGCATAACCCCTAATGCAGGCCGCTATCTTGAGCAACCAAACAGTTGACCTTCGAGTCTAGGCCGATGACAAGTATGGCTAGTGAGGGGGAGCTCTAGTAATACTTGGCCTGGGGACACTCTTGAGGGCTAGGAAATAAAAAGAATTGTGTGATGGGAAGTATTATACTCCGTTAAGTGATTAGTGGGGTAGAACACTACCTTACAAGAAGCCTCCGCTAAAGACCTTCACAGTCCAACTTAAGGCTCGAGTGAGCGTGGTCGTTGGGGTCTGCGCCTTTTGTAGAAAGCCGTACAACTTGATGGTGGTTTGTCTATGAGCGTAAACATGGTCTTGGATGGTGACTGTTTTAAAAATCTTAGATAACAAGAGGGGTTGGGTTGGAGCCTTGGGAAGATATGGGAGAGAAGGACAGACACCACCTTGATGATGAGGTCGATCATCGTAGTACAGATCTAGTACCACGACCTACCGCAATGTGCACACTGAGGTTGGGTGAGAGACCCGGGTTAGAGTTCCGACGACGATCTATGAAACACTGGCCTCGGGCGCGCCGCGGACATGAATTTACACGAATTTTTCTGAATTAAATAATGGGTAATATATATATATATATATATATATATATATATATATATATATATATATATATATATATATATATATATATATATATGGGTTGTAGGGATTTCCAAGCCCTACAACCCGATATTTGTTTTTTTGGAAACATATATTTTTTTTGAATTATAAAAAATAAAAAACAGAAAAGGTGGAGAAGAGAAATATAATTTTATTTTTTATTTTTTATTTTTTACGGTTGTGTGTGTGTGTGTGTGTGTGTGTGTGTGTGTGTGTGTGTGTGCGCGCGTATGGTGGGTGGCGGGGTGGAGGGGTGACCCCTCCCCCACCAATCAATTAATCAATCAGCAAAAAAAAAAGAAAGCAAAATCGAATCAATCAATCAATCAATCAGTCAATCAATCAACCAATCAATCAATCAATCAATCAATCAATCAGTCAATCAATCAACCAATCAATCAATCAATCAATATCAATCAATCAATCCAAAAAAAAAAAATCAAAAAAATTGAATGAATGAATGAATGAATGAATGAATCAATAAATCAATCAATAAATCAACGGGAAAAAAAAAACGCATTTTTTTTGGTTTTTTTTTCAATTATCTTCACTCACTGCCAACCCCCCACCCCCAAAAAATTKTTTTTTTTTTTTTTTTTTTTTTTTTTTTWTKWWGGGGKGSGGKTGGGGTTATGTCGCCCCATGGCGCTTCCCAAATCCCCAACCCCCTTCCCCACTGGCCGCCATGCGGTTGCAAAGTTGCGTCGCCACGCGAACACGTCTGCGTGGTCGCGGACCTGGTCGCGGCCTCGGGTTTGGTCGCGTTTGGCCGCCGCCGAGGAAGATAAATAGACGATGATAAATGTAATCAATGTGATGGAGCGAGCCCTTGAACCATACTACCACCCAACATCCACCCGACTGGTTGGATTCATCAGTAAGGGGGTTTATTGTGCATTAGATTCCAGAGCGACGGGGACGTTGCTCAATGGGGTCCGGGAAAGCTGTCGGAACAGATAACAAGGGTATCTGTTCACATATTAATACATTTTGGGCCAACCAGTCGACGATATGGTTCGGGAGGATTCCGGGTTGTCCACGGGACGCTTGAGGGTCAAGGCAAGCTGCAGGGCCACCACGCTAGGAGTGAGACTTTCCCATGTGCTCCATGCAGCCATGGGGGGTGGTGCCTCGGATTGGTCATAAAAGAGCCTCCTTTTTCTTTTTTTACTAGAATAAGGGCGGCCTAATTAATACCCGTCCATTGTTTTCCTTTTCTCTTTTTATTTTTCTCTTTTATTAAGTTTATAACTAGGCTACCAGAGTGGTCCGGGGTCATTTGCCCACTCGGGCAAAAAATAAAATAAAATAATAATAATAAAAACTCGAATTTCGATGTGACCCTCGTACAAATGTTGTTCAGTGTATTTTTCTACATAATATAATTTTTTTTTGGATTTTTTTTTTTTTTTTTTTTTTTGGGACCCTTGCACGGGCTGGCCACTTGGGACCCGGGCGGCCCGGCTGGTAGCCTAGGTTTTTAATCATTTTTATACTTTTGGTTATGTTTATTCTTTGGATCTGTATTATTATTACCTTATGGCTATTATCATTGTCTTACGGCAAGGCCATTAGGTTGTCGCCGTTAGCTTACGACGGCGGGGTAACTGCGAGTTGTGGGGTTTTCGGTTGGAGAAACCGGTCCAGCCGGCGAAAACGTGGCCGGCAGTTGGCCGAGCTGATGGATGATCGAATTTGAAAAAGAGCCAGTGTAACTCGTTGGTGGCCAGACCAAGGGCAAACGGGCTTGGTCTGGCCAGCGGCCGCTCATAGCCAACCCATTCAGGGTAACTTTTGGGTTGGCCCACAAAAGCCTACAACTAAGTCAACATGCCTGGCCCAGTTGACCACCACCGACGGGCCCAAATCAGTTGGCACACCCGCGATTTGTTGAAATAACAGGCCAAGTCCGAAGCCAGATACGATTAGACGACTAGAGTAAAAAAGTGTTGATAATTTGGAGCTGGCAGTCCACGGGGGTATCTCAGGGACGCGGCCTTGACTTTGACCTTTGGGCCAATGATATGAGTTTTGACCCTTGAGAACCGGACCGGATCCCTGAGACATAGTTGGGTCGTCGGCCCATAGGAAAACCCAGTGGAGGGCATAGCGGGATCGACTGGCCGTGGTTGACGTTGCTTGGGTGCATGAACCTAGGCTATAAAAGGGGGGTAAGTACACGAGTGGGAAGTAAAAGAAATAAGAGCGCAGGGACTCGTGACCACAGCATAACGTCACTCGAGGATTGTTTTGATGCCTCCTCAGATGGGAGAATGACAGGAGAGGAGGGTGTAGGGACGCTGACGACGCGTAGGAGGATGCTGACCTTACACACGGAGGACCCTCGTATGCGCTTTAGGTGGGACTGTGCACTCGGGTCGACTCACACGACAATGGGTCAGATCCCACTTCTTATAGGAAGGGCACTTTTAGGCAAAATTTGGGATCCCACTTCTTTTCAGGAAAGTAGGATCCCGTGCCGGAAAGTCGTGGAAATGAAAACGGTTTCTTACGTGGAGGCACGCGCGTGATTGTAGGGTCAGTATTTCTAGCGATTTTAAAAAGAGGTCAACACCGTCTTTCGTAGTGAAAAAGAAGGCAGGATTTTTTTTTTTCTTTTGTTTTTTGTTTTGGTCCTAACAGTAGTCTTGGAATGTCCACCTTCGGTGTCCAGTGTGTGACGGTCGGCACGGTGCCGCCCCGGGGCCCCCAACGGTAAGCAGGCATCACATCCTGCCCCGAACCGGCCATGGGACACACACCCAGACCCTGGTACCGTTTACCCAGGTAGGGTCGTCGGTGCTTCCAGTACATAGCGCACAACTTCTGTGCCTCCGACCGCAATCCCTTGCTATACGACGTGCCCTTTCGCTTTCTGTACCGCAAAGCACGTGGTCCGTTGCTCATGTGAACCTCCCATCGAAGATCCCCACTCTGTCCATTTGCGTATCAAGGCCACGTCTGTGGGGTCGCGTTGCTGCCTTCAACTGCCACGTGTCTGCGCTTCGTACTCGAGGTATGGAGGATGGTCGTCTGCCTTTCGAACGTCGTTCGTCGACCCTGTCCCCGTCCTCGGTTCCTGTTGAGACATGCATGGTGGATGTCCCGCCATAGACCCCTGCCACGTACTCCGCAAGTTATCATCCTCCGTCACCCGTTGGAGGCGGGTCGTCTTCCTCCCGGTCCATCCCCTTTATGCCACACGGTTTGCCGCCTCTGCCATCATTCAAGAATCTGCACACTTCGATGTACGTTGTGGGGAGAGAGCCTCGGTCCATGACATCGCTCCTCGTTGAAGGTGACAGTTATGGACCGCAGCGAGGTGGAGAAGCATATGGGATCAGTGTCGGCTATCAGGCGTGGGGAATGCCACGTGGAGGGCAGTGGCAACAACCACCGCAAGGCGCAAGGGCCAGCGGGGAAGGAGAGTTGCCTGTGGGGGGGGCAGCGTCCTTTGGACGTACATCGTACATTGCTGGCGCTGCACCAAACATGCATGCGGGGGTGGTTGGAGGCACGTCCACAAACTATTATTCAAGACCGCCTGCTGCGAACATGGTTGGAGGTCTGTCGCCGTCCATGCCTTCGGATGTTGCATTTAGCAGTCATGATGGTCGTCGTCTTCATGTGCACGATTCCGAAATCAGTGTCCCAGAGCCTTCTCAAGTGGTTGCCGACCTCAGCGAGGATATGGACAAGCACGACGCTGGAATGGGCGACATGTGGGCTGGTGCATCTACCGATATAGCTGGTACGCAAAGCACGGGTAATGTCACAATGGACCTCACCGATGATGGCAAAACGGATGACGCGGCGGGTGGAGATGTGAGGAAGAAGGGCAAAAGGGCAGGGGGGGGAGGGCGTGGCAGAGATAATGTGGGGAAGGCCAAAGTTCGAGGTCCTTATTGGTCTTCAGCTGAGAGCGTCGCACTGCTCAAACTGCTTTTTGAAGAAGACTGTACGTAGCAGAAGAGAAAAGGCGGGCAACAGATGAGAAGCCGGAAGGACAAGTACGACTGGATTGTGAAGAAGCTTGTTGAGAAAGGAGTTGTCGAGCGCACCGTGGACGAATGTGAGAGGAAGTGCTACGGGCTTCTTGACGGCGTGAAGAGGATTCGTGATTTTGGAAAGAAGTCTAGCGCGCCCTCTTACTGAACAACGTCACAGGATGTGAGAAAGGCGGCAGGACTTCCACTGACATTCGAACGTGAGTTCTATGAAGCACTGCAATGAAAGCTTGTGAAAGCAGATGGTCACTGTGATGAGCCTATGCAGAGCGTGAATCTGGAAGGAGGGCCGTCGAGCACAGACATGGATGACGAAGACATGGGCGGTGGGGAGGACACAGGTGGTGGTCACCGGAAAGCAGACACCGACAGTGGTGACGCAACGAAATTCGCTCGAAGTGGTGGGGGCACCTGAGACGTTCGTCGTCGAAGAGTTTTGTGGAGGGAGGGAGGGGAGGCACATTCGCAGATGTCGCCCACGCTTTCGTCGATGCCACCAACAGACAGACCAATAAGTTGTCGGGCAGTTTTGTGGACGCCATGGCTGGAATCAACAAGACCATGGCAGATTGGAACAACACACTATTGTAGTGTTTTGCGATGTTGTCCAGTTCGTTGGCGAGACAACCCGCCTCTGCTCCCGCAACGATACACGGGGGCGGGGAGGGGCGTGGTTGAAGACAGCATGGCAAACATACAGTTGTTCCGAACAGATTTGCACCTTTTTTTTTGTCGGTTTGTCGGCTTGCCTCATGAATGATGTGGTGCAAATTTATTTTTGTGTTTTTTTTTTCGTTTTTTTTTTTTTTTTGCTAGAGGGGTCCTCTTCGTCTGACAACTGTCCACCCGCATGTGTCATGCGTGATGGCGTTGTTGCAGGTCTGTGATAGAGGGGGCAGAACCACGTGTGCTCATGCCTGGTTATGTGCTTAAATTCTGTGGAAGTGGTGAACGATTTCGGCGGGCCTGTTTTTTGGATACCCGGTGCGAGCCCAGTCTATAGTGTGTGTGTATATATATATATATATATATATATATATATATATATATATGTATATGTACAACAGTATATATATATATATATCTGTCTCTTATACACATCTAGATGTGTATAAGAGACAAGAGAGAGAGAGAGAGAGAGATGAAAGTGTGTACAACCTTCAATGGAATCTTCGCCAGGCGTGTGGTGGTGGTGAAGGAGGTGTTGCGCAGGCGGGATTGGGTGCATCTGCCCGAACTGGTGTTCACCAATGACGTGGCCGCTCGTGGGTACAGGTGGTACGATGTGCACGTGAGCAGGTTGTATGCCATGGAGGTGTTGGCGACGCTTGGATACGACGACACTGATCTGTTGTCCGACGTCATCTTCTTCACGAAGAAATTGCACGACATAATCCCAGACGAGTGGGATGGTAATGACCGTGATATTGTGGGGGATATAATCCGCCATGTGATGTCGGCCATATCGGAGGAGCACCATGACAAGATGGTGGATACCCCTCGGTACAAGACCGTGTTGGAACCCCCGTTGAGGGGCAGACCGTACCTGCACGAACTGTTGCAACCTTGGGACCTGGAGGAGGATAATCGACAATCTTGTCGTCGGTGAGAAGCGCGCGTGCTTCATGGCGGGACATTCAGCATCTACTCCGAAAATGGGACACAGGTACGGGGCGGGGGACGGTTGCAGACAGCAGGCTAGAGAGTTTTTTCCTGCACGAATTGGATTTGTAGTGTTTTTTTTTTTTTTGCCTTCTTTTTCTCGGGGGGGGACCCTATCCATCTGACACTTGTCCATCCGCATGTGCTGTGCGTGATGACCTTGTTGCAGGTATCTCATCGGGGGCCCGAACCACGTCTGCGACAGAGATGTCGTCCTCTCCGCTTCGGAATGTCACAGAAGTCGTGGACATGGCGGGTGATTTTGCGCTGATCCACAGGAGGATGATTGAACAAGCTCATGAGCTCGCACGCAAGAGAGGTGTTGTCTTCACACACGTGTCCGCTACGGTGGAGGAGTTGAAGCGTTTGCGGGAGCAGGTGGACAAGGCTTCCATGAGAAAGGGTGTGGCAGTTTCGAAAGCAGAAGTTGCAGAGACCACGATCGCTGTCTTGCGGGATGAGGTGGCGCGTCTAGAGCGACAATTGGCAGTCTACGAAGGGGCGTCACTGGATTCAGGGGCAGATCGTGACGATCATGTCAGCAATGTGCAAAACTCCAGGGGCAGGCGAGGAGGAATTATGGTGAGCGTCACCGTGTCCCTCAGCAATTTGGTTGTGGACAGTCCTTACCGAACACCTCCGCAGAGGCGTTTGTCCACAACCTGTGGTGACAGATCACCGTCAGTTACGGCGGCCATGTCACCAGACGCGAACCGCCGTGATGTGACAGTTGTCTTTGATCACCTTCGGAGGGCAATGAGTTTGGAGCCTGATTCGTCCACCAACTCTAAATAGTGCTGCATAGATGAGAGGGTGATGAATAGTTCATCACCACGATCCTTCCACTGCAGCCGTTCATGTGTCCTTCGTCTTTTTCTGGTTTCTGTGTAAGGTTATGACGAAGGGCCTGGGTGTTTACGGGGTAGGCGTATGTCCGGTGTTGTGGGGAAGATCGAAGTAGTTTGAAGATGAGTATGGCGGTAATTTTTTTTTTACACCATGAATTGACAGATTTGACTGTGGGCAGTCGCAACCTTTTTTTTCATTGCTGCACATAATTTTTTCTCATTACTTGTCCTTCTATTGTCATTGTCCGTGTGACCGTGTGTATGTCACGTGAGATTGTTGGGGGTGCCATTCATGAAATCATGTCTGTCATGCACGTCACTTGTATGGAAAGGGATGGCATGAGAATGTGATCATTTGTTTCGGGTTATGATTTGGAAAATGATGCAGGCAGTGGTAGAACGACACAACGTGATTTTGCATATTTCCGGGCATTGGGAAGGAATACAAATGATCACACCGCTCGCGTGCCGGCTATCAGGTAACAACATGAACAATAAATAAAAAAACAGAAATATATAAACCACTGTGGCTCAACGGTACACCCATGAGCTGTTGATAAACACACCGGAGTTCGAATCCAGTCGGAATGGAATGAGTAAAATGACTCTCAATTTAACTAGGTGTTAACAGTTCGATGATGACATCTGAAGGCTGTCGCCCATTTCAAAAAAAAAAAAAAAAAAAAAGGAAAAACTTCCGAACACTTGTGATTGACAACGGATCATGCCATGTCGTGTTGAAATCTAGTGTGTGCAGGTTGTCCGTTCCAAGAAAAAAAATGATTGGTTATTGATTCAGACAATGTATGCAGACTGTGCCTTCCAAGTACTTCCTATTGACAACGGGTCAATCCATGTCCTTTTCAAATGCTTTGTGTGCATAATGAATATTGTCAATGGTTGGGGGTGAATTGTAGGTGGATGATTGGATCCCAATTTCGTAATGTTTGAATACAAAAAAAACTCATGACGCACTAGAAATGACAAATCCAAACACACGACCCACAAAAAAGAAGACAAATCAGAGGTTTCCATCACTGAAAGTAGACACGCAATGTTGACGACCCTCAGAACAGGTAACAAAAAGTAATGGCATAGAAAATTGTGCACTCTCTCTAAAAAATATCTCTTTCTCTCTCTCTCTCTCTCTCTCTCTCTCTCTCTCTCTCTCTCTCTCTCTCTCTCTCTCTCTCTCTCTCTTTCTCTCTCTCTCTTTCTCTCTCTCTCTCTCTCTCTCTCTCCTCATTTGCGAGAGGCCAATCAAATCACGTGAAAACGCCATAGGGAACACTTATCCCTGTGCACCAGCAGGCGCACAAAAAACGAGGGCTACATGAAGAGCGTGGCGAAGCACAGAGCAACGGAGAGCCTCCGCCTTGTCTTTCCGTTGCAGGTGGGTTCCATACAAGGTGGACCCCTCGCGTCGAAGAGCGGCCTCGCCATCACTATCGTCGTTGTCGATGCCGTCCGCAGGTTCTCCTTCATTCTCACCATCTCCGTTGTCGTCCACGCCTTCCACATGTTCTCCTTCACTGTCGTCATCTTCACTATCATCATCCGGTCTCTGCCGCAGCAGTTCGTCATCGATTGGGATGCCCGCGTCAATAATGATGTTGTGTAAAATGCAGCAAGCGAGGAACTGATAACAAAGGTTCTCCATATTTGCGATGTGTTTGCGCCCAAAGCATCTCCACATTCCTTTAAACTTGCCGAAACACCTTTCAATCGCGCTTCGCAGGGCGGAGAATTTATTGTCAAATGATCTCTCCTGCAACGTCCGGTTACTGCCGCCAAACAGCGTCATCAACCACAACAAGATTGGATAACCAGCATCTTCCATCAGATATCTCCCCATCACCACGCCATCCATCAACACATTCGTCCTCCACGTGAAAGGCTCCTTCCCTTCCTCTCCACGCCAGCACAAATCAGACAAACGTAGAACACGCGAATCATGAACAGAACCAGGTGCGCCGACAACGACATCCAGTATGCACAGGTTCTCATCGCACACAACCTGCGCTTGGACTGAGTATTGTCTGTTGCGGTCGAAGTACGGCTCCGCCTCCCCGCCACGTGGCTTATTAATGTAGATGTATGTACAGTCAATGACACCGAAACAACCGGGGAAACCTCTCCCCTCGTAGTAGTCGAGGGTGGCTTGTAAGAGAACACCCGTCGACCAACACAAAGCATGCCCGTACTCCGCACAAATAACTCTTGCCACGTCGTCCGTGTATCATAAAGCGCTGTGTAATCCCATACCGAAGTCGTTCCCGCATTGCCGGTAAAACCCGCCTGTGGCCCATCTGTAAAGTGCGAAGGCGAACTTCAGAGACGCTGACAAAGCATCTCTCCAGCGAATGTCCCTCCTTTGAATCCTTTGAGCAATTCATTGCAGAATTTCGTCGAACACAGGACGCGTGAGCCGTGTGTATTCCCGAAATTTCTTTTCGTGTCCCACTCCCGTCATGTTCAGCTCGTCCCACGTTCCTCCCACTCGCTCCCGCACCCACAGCCGTCACCGACGTCGACCAACGAAGGGCAGGAGGCCGTCCGCTCGCCCTGCGCCCTCAAAGACGTGATAAGCAATTTGTCGACGAATAGGCGTGAAGCAGAAATCCCTCAATGACCAATGCAGCGTGGAGAGGGAAGGGAGGATGGCGGTGTTGCAAGGCCGAGGCAGGACCACGTATAAAAGACACGTACGAAAGGGGGGGATCAACTCTCCCGCTGCAACTTCTTGCCTTCGAATACAACGCTTATCTATGTGCCTGATATGCCACTCTTACTGGACTTTTGTCAGTCCAGCTGCAGCGACGGTAGCTCACGGACGCCTCCGCGATATCAAGCATGACCCAGAGGAGAAAATGGCAAGAGTTGTGATGAAAGGAAGTCGAGTGTCGGACCTGCGCGCAGATCTGGACCCTCGCTTTAGTTTGGGATGATTTAGCGACCTACGTTTTGATTCCCTCTTCCTCTTATTTTCATTACTATCATTATCGTTACTATTATTATTATTATTAATATTATTATTGTTTATTTTTTATTCCTTTCATTTAGTTTCTTTTCTTTCTGTCGTTTCGTGGGAAACCAACGGTTCGAGTTTCGAACCCAATCGTGGTCTAAGCGGCTTAGAATGGGCTAACCCTTCGCTTATTAATGTGTCTGATTTGTCTAGGAGAGCGCTGCGTGGTGGGACCCCAAAAATGGGAGCACCTGTAGCCGCCTTGGTAGGAGGCTTATCACCCCCCCGTGGAGGGTCATAAGCCCCCTCCTTGCCATCGGACACGGGTACCCAATAGCGGTAGAACGATGGCTTGTTTTGGAGAGAAAAGGTGCGCCGTCGGTATCCCGTTATGGGATCACGGTGTCAATCCTGCAGTTGCTTCACGTCTAAGGCTGGTTAGTGGATGACAGCTGGAATCGGCTTTGCTCGTTGGCGTCACACTTTTCTTTTTTCCTTTTTTTTGTATTTTGTTTTAATTTATTAATTTAAAAGGTTATAGAATGTTAGAATACAAAGATCTGAAAAATACTCAAACACTCGTTCAGAACATAGGGGTCGCGGTATGAAGAGAGCCTATAAAAGAAAAGAGAGGTTGGCTATCCGACAGCTAGCTGTAGGTGTCCGCGAGTTATCCCGTTGCATTAATGCCGCTAGTCTGGGGCCAGAGGGCGGAGTAGTGAGGGCTAGCGTGAGATATCTGAGCGCGTGCACTTGGGAATGAGGCCCTGGCCATTGAGTGGCTATGGCAGACCGAAATGGCCTGCGTGGTTATAGGCCGAGGTACATGAGGTACTATTGGATGTGGGAGCGTGAGGACGAGAAAGGCACTATAGTGGAGGCCATACTGTCTTACGGTAAGCCTGAAGGGGAAGTGAGGCTAAACATTAACGTGTTAGGTCACAGGGAGCAGGTAATGAGGAGGGACGAAGGACTGCAGGCTGCGATTACTGAGGTGCGCAACAGGGCCGAGCGGAGGTGCAGGCAAGACGGGGTGACTGCGAGAATGCGGGTGACTGTCACTAACCATGAAGATGATTCTTCAACGGGGACCACTACCAGGGAGGTGCAGCGCGGCGACCGAGACTCTGAAGGAGAGTCTGAGATGAGCGATGTGAAGGCGACCCAGTTTTGGCACGGATGGGACCAGCGGCACCGAGACCGCCCGCCGGTAGCGCCTATTGAAGAGGGCCCTGAGGTCAACTCGCGACGGCGAGCAAGCGGGCAGTAAGGCCCCAAAGATGACTGCGCAGAGGGGCTCGTAGAGGAGGATGCGTGCGAGAGAGTGAGGGGACCAATATGTGCGAGCATAACTTGTATGCTTGTGAGGTTGACGTCAAATTGAGTTCTGCATGCGGGAAGTTAGGATGAGGGGAAACGTGTAAGGACCACAGAGAGAGAGAGAGTCAGTCGCGACCAAAGGATAGAGAGAAGGCACGGGGAGGTTAGATGGAATGGACGAGTGCTCTCACGGTTGATGTCAACCGCAATCCTGCCTAAATGATACTAGTTGTTCTTGTGCGTACCCTCTCTGACACGGGAAAAGGGCCACGAGAGCATGGGGCACACTACACACCATCATCGTATGCAGCAAGAGACTTCTTCAAGTTGTTGAAATCATCTACCCTCTCAAGTCAGGGTACAATGGATGGATATTATCTCCGCCGTGGTTTTTATCTTTGCGCTAGTTGTTCTCATGTCTTGGCAGCAGAAAGTCTCTAGCCACGGTTGAAGGAGAGAGAGAGTACAAACCTTGTTCGTGCTGTGGTCGAAGTAGCCATCGTCACACGAGGGTTCCCCGTCATCAACACAGGTGCCTTTGCATGATCAGAGAGAGGGAGAGGTGACACAAGTAAAGGGCGTGTAAGTTCGAGGAGAAGGGGGAGCGCGGCACACACGGACCCTCTGTAGCAGTTAAGACTCCCGAACGAGTGGACATGAGGGACTCGTGCACTCTACGCGATTGATGATATGTGAGTGCTTGAATGGACTGTGACATGGGGGGGGAACCTGCTGAGCAAATTAACTTGCGAGGATTTAGAGAACACGCTCACTTCGATAGACAGTATCTCCCCTCTGGTGCTGATATCGTCAAGCTCAGGCGGACGAGCTGCAGGTGGCCTTGTTTTCTTGTTACCATCAGTCTTTGGTCAGTCGCGTGAGGTTTCATCCGAGGGATCAAACTTACGTGGGAGATTCTCATGGGAGCGCGCAATTGACATCACTCCTCTCACCGATGAAGGCCACTCTCTTTCCGCCATCGCACAACTGCACGACTCCATTATCACTCGTTCGATGCTTCTAATTACTAACATCGAACAGGGGTGAGACTTCTAAGTGGGCAGGTGTGCATCTCATATGAGAGAAGTGCATGTGCGGCGTGCCTCTCCGTTGACGTCAATCACCCTAGTGAGTGACTCTCTGTTAATGAGCTTGTGCGTGTGAGGTCAATAGGTGAAGATGAGATACAAATGAGCATTCTATGGTGGCACCGAAGGCATGATAAGCATTGCTATCTCCTACGCCCCGGATTATTTACTCTTCTGTAATGACTGCAGAGGTAGGTCGAAGGGCACGTTGAACCCTAACTGCTAGTACAAACATTTTCTAATGGAACATTGTTAAATCACAAGACTTTTGTGAAAATTCATGAAAGACTAAGTGTTTGCTTCGTGAATGGATCCTACTAGCGAACCTGCGTCTGAGTGACAACTGTTCTAGTTTTATGTGGGACGATCATTTCTTGGTTCCTTTCTATTCTGGACAATGGACACCGCTTGAATCGAAATGCGGGATAAGGTCAATTGAGAGTTGACATGAACATGAAGTAACACGCATGCATATTGGGTCACATATAATGAGTGTGTGTGCCTCAGGCCAAATGTTGCCGTCAGTTGATCAAGTCTCCCTTTTCATGTTTGATTTGACTCGGCTGGCCTCGCTATGTCAATTCTAGTTGTAAGCAACATTATACCCGCCTAGGTTCCATTTCGAGGAGGGTTCTCTTTCCACTTGCCGTGAAGTTGTAATTGGCACTAAGATTGGCAAAACGTGAGGAACCGTCAGGGGGAAATTTGGTCCCCCGCTTAAAGCAAATGAGTAAATCAGGGTCTTGGATGCAGTTGATGGAATATCAAGAGTGTTAGCCCTGTAGGGTCGGGCTGCTTCTCCGAGAAGGGGAAATGAGGATGATATTCTGGGAAAAGAAAAATTGGGCAAGTCATGTGATGAGATGAGTGTTCTCGTTACGTGAGACTGAGATCTTGTTAATGAGTGGGAAAGTTTGAGTACTAAGGAGGATTGCCTATTTCCTGGCCAAGTTTCTCTTGGATGGGGATTAATTAATACCCCTAAAAGAGCGAGTGCATCCGCGTCCTACAGTTAGCCCCTATAGCAAGGACTCTGTTTGTACACCGCCGGGGGTATCTATAATGGTTGATCACGTTTATTTTCGACTTTGAATTATATGACATTCCCTTCGTATAATGGCAAGAGAAGTGACCTGTAATACTTACACTGTTTGTGCTGTGCCTTGCGTGCCAATTGATTAGGAACGATTGTCTGGGACATCGAGTGTATTGTTTGAAAGAGCAGTGTTCCCATCAGAGGTACACAGAATCAATACCAATCAGACTGATTCCTTGCCGCCGAAGTTGTCAGAAGTCACATGATCAATCACAACAACCAGCACTAGCATTCAATCAGTGCTCAATCAGCATCCTATCAGCATTCAGTCTCGGTCAGCGCTCGGTAACAAGTTATCACCAAAGGATCTGGAGAACTGTTTTCGGTACCCACCTCAACACATGAGTTGGGTCCAGTCCTCTCCAGTGGGTGAGTCAATTTTGACCAACCTCAACAGGATATCCCTCGAAGATGCTATCAGATATCAGTATGTCAGTGTTGTTGGCTTCAGCCGAGGGGATCTATCAGTCTTTGTGGTCCATACCACTTTCGCAGGGGGCTCTATTCATGACCTAAGGATCTATCTAAAGAAGGGGAAGGTGACCCATGAAAACTTCGATTCGGTCTGGGTCACAGCTGCCCGGTACCTTGAGGAGAGAGGAAAAAAACTTAACGAAAATGGGACAAAGTTGATCTGCAGCTTCGGGCCCAAGCTTTACACTGACCACCCAAAGTCTCCAGTACCTTTCATTCTCACAGACGACTCTTGCTGGAGTGATCTGGTGGACTTGGCAAAAAGATACATCTCACCAGCAGAGATTGACTATGAGGCAGTGACAGAACCTTCAGAGTTTTCATATCTCAGACGAGGGATTTTCTCTAGACCCTATCTTCCTACACTGTGGCAGGAGTTCTGTGCTATGGTTGATTTCCATGTCATGCTAGGATGGAAGTGTTCAGAACTCGCTGGCTTCAAGTGGCTCTATGTCGAAAGACCACAACCTTAGGGAGTACAGAGACATGGTTCAAAGCACAAGAGACATACAACAAGATGAGAGATTGATTGTGAGGATTCAAAGGGTTGAGTGAGGACTCTTGACTAGTGCTGGCCATGCTCTTTATGTGTACCCCGTGAGATTATTATGAGTTCTTATTCTTCCCTCACTCAACCTTGTCACTGGCCGAGTCAGTCAGTCTTGCTTCTTGTATTGCCCTTGCTGATGATTGCATTCTTTGATGATTCTGTCACAGTTCTCAAAATAAAAAAATTGGCAAAATTGATGCATGCGTGACATATCATAATTTATGATTATCTATTACATGATTCTTTGCTGTTCTGAATCAAAATAAAAGATTCCTAAGACCGGGGACAGACGAAGACCGTAAATGAAGGGTCTCGCTCGAAGCCGGACGTACACAACAGGAAGGGATTTGCTTTAATTAATTAATTTTATTTATTGCAACTCAATACAAAATCTTGCGTGACAACCTGTTGACTTTCTGGTCGCCTGAGGGGGCCCGACTAGAAAAAGTGCGACACCGTGCCCACGAGGTGATGGATAGGGAAATCACCGCAGTCCCAACGTGCAGTGCACGCCTGACACAGACAGGGTATGGCGGAAACAGGCGCTGCGAAAACTCACACCTCCCTCGCCACGCCGATCCAAAACTTGTGGGTTGCTACAACGGAGGCCAGAGAAGGCCCCACGACGGTCCCCATGCTTGCCACACAAACCCCCCTGGGCCCACACGGGGGGACAGACCACCGCAATGTCGCACACCACCCACGGCCACACAGGCCACCACGTGTTGTCCGAACCGACACCCCAAAATCCGACCCCGCACACCCGCCCACAACAACCCGCTGGTTTACTCGGAAAAACCCCGAGAACAGAGGAGAAGTCGGATCCCATTTTGCTTTTACGAACCGCTCGGACTGGGTCCGCTAAAAGTGGCACTTTTAGGTTCTTACGAAAATTGGTAGAAGTGGGATCAGCCCCAACATTACCGTGGTGAAAACCGCGGAAAAGATGGCAAACGGTAACGAAGGCGTACTCCGCGCGCGGAAAAGATGGCAAACGGTAACGAAGGCGTACTCCGCGCAGGCTGGTTAGAAAGCCTCAAACTCGAATCCCAGGTATATGGCAAGTCTACAAACTTTAGGAAGTCCAGTCCAGCTATAGCAACTGCAGAACCCATAACCTGCCGCAATAGACATCCGATTCCAAGGTGCTGATCACTGACAATAGAGTTCCCTGGGGCTTGGCTCTACACGGATTATCACTGGCTCCAGCAAGGTGTGGCCCCGTGTGGCCCCGTGTGTGCCGGAGGTTAGCGGGTAGGGAGGGAGGGAGAGATGGAGCGTTTTCCGAAGCGACGGAACTGGACTTCGCCGGATCTGGGGGAGTGGAACGGAAGATGCGGGGAGGTGGAACGAAATCGCGCGTGCTGATGGACAGATTTGTGCTGACAAGGGCTGGGGCCTCGCCCGTGCACTTGAACCGATTAGCCAGCGACCGAAGTTTGAGCTCGCGACCTTGTGCCCCCCMCCCGCTCTCTTWCCCCCCCCCCCCCCTCTTGGCAGCGGTCGTGTTCGTCCTCGGACTGACTTTGTCTTTTGTGACGGTAAGACCTGTCAGCGTTGTTCGTGCAACTCTGTGGTCGCAAAGAAGCCCGCGTCTTGAACCATGCAATCAAGGAATGGCGGATTGGTCCCCCCGCATGAACGGACCCCCAAGAGAAATTGCCCACGACGCAACTATCGTCGTGGTTGCTTTGCAATGATAGTTGATGACCGAGCATTAGATCGCGCCCGGTAGGGAGCAGCTATTGGGGTGGCTAGCTGATCGACTCGTGCGATCAGCGACTGGGGGGACATCCCCGCACTGCATTGCACTGGTCTCTCGGCGGAGCAGTCCCGCGGATCTGATAGGGAGGGCCGGCCGACGATTCTCTTGCTGCACCTTGCGTTCTTGGACGGAGAAGGCACCCGCTTTCGTCGTGACGGTGTGCGTTCTCCGTATAGGCAGGGCCAGAGGTGGCATCGCTGGGAAGCAGGCAGACCAAAAGAAGAGCTGGTGTGGCTGGACATACTGCGTGATTTCGATTTTGTAACTTTACTCCCAGTCACGGCTGCGTACGTACTTGTAAGAGGATAGGCATCACCCCAGGAGAGCGAGAAACACGAACCTGGCTGGGCGTGAAGCGGTGACAGTGTAGGTGGCGGGTGGTGGGGGCGGGAGAGCAGGAAAAGACAGGAGGATCGAAGGGTGAGGGAAGGCGTAACTAAAAGGAATCAGGAGGAAAGAGACAGGGAAAGGAAGGAAGGAAAGAACAAGTTCAAGAAGGACAGAAAAAAGGGGGGAAGAAGAGAAGGAGAGGGACAGGAGAGGGACTGAGAACAGCAGCGAATAAGGTTTCACGATCGATTGAGTGCGATGTTATAGTAGCCGGGGACTATAGAGACGGGGTAAAGCTTGGCAGACAAAGGTGTTCCTTTCTCCTCCCCTCCCCCCCCCCCCCCCCCCCCCCCCCTCTTCGCCCCTTCTTTGTTTAAGTGTTTCCTCCACTCCCTTCTGTTGTTTTATGGCCCAGGATGGTTGTAACGGGGTAAAGGCCAACACCATCGTTGCTGTGAGGAAGATGAACCGCCGATCCACAGACGCCATTGTAAGCGATAGCGGAAAACGGCAGAGTCTTGATTTTCTCGTCTTTGATATGCCTGGTGTAACTTCAAGGCAAAATGCGCTGGTCACTAACGCTAGCCATCACCACGTAGAGAGGCGGTGGCGATAACTTCGTCTTTGGCGGCGCAGATGAACGCACAGAACAGAACAGAAGAGAAGAGAAGAGAACAGAAGAGAACAGAAAGAAAAGAGATCGATAGGACGAAAAAAACACAACGAGCGAGAGAACAAACATCGAAGGGAATGGTAGACCGGGAGGAGGAATCAGGTCCACATCTCAACACATGGAGCAGTGAAGACAAACATGCACAACGATGAATTGATGATGAGAGCAAGATTAGCTACTGCTACTGCTGCTGGTGCCGCTACTGCTGCTGGTGCTGCTGCTGTTACTGCCGCAGAGCAAAGGCAGTCGATTTGTTGTGCGTGCTGCTGGTGCGTTGCGTTGCCTGGCAGACGAAAGAGAAGCGAGTTCAGAGTGCATATCATCAGCATGCTATGGGCGGCCTGTCTTATGTGGCTGTTCTTGTCGGTGTTCGTCTCACCCTGTTGCTGCATTGCGACTCCTCGAAAAAAGAGCGAGCTAGAGGTTCTGCTGCTGTTGCGAGATGCATTGGACCCCGGCGGAAGAGTGCTTGGCGGCTCATGGCAACCGCATGGGGATCCGTGTGATACCGGCAGTGGTTTTCTTGGAGTGGAGTGCGACGCTCATGGCCGCGTCAGCCGCCTTCGCCTGGATCGACGCCGTCTCTTAGGCGTGGTCCCGGGGGAGATCGCTGGCCTCACCCAACTGCAAGTCGTGAATTTGAGTCACAATTCGCTAACAGGGCCGATCCCCTTGGAAATCGTCAGTCTCCAGCAACTGAGGGCCGTCGATCTCTCCTATAATCACCTGTGGGGTGATTTGTCCGCTGACTTTTTGCGATGGGCCAGGGATATCGATGTTCGCCTTGCGGCCAACGACTTCGCCGTCGCTCGTGATGAGCCGATGCCACTGCCATCCCTGCGGACAGCGCCGTTGCCTATGTTAATTCGGAAGCCGTTGCGGGCTCGCGACGGCAGCAGCGGCCGCAGTGACGGAGGAGGAGGAGGAGGAGGAGAAGGTAGGAAAATAAAAGGAAACAATGACCATGGCAATTGGTCAAACCATCTTTGGTCAGCGGCTGAGCATTTGGCGTCGTTCGTCAGATTCGTGAGTCATACCGCCCAGCGTCTCAAGAGTGCCTTTTCTTCCTCTGCTCTCCTGTTGGGGAGAGAAGGTCTTCTGGGGAGCGAGAAAGATGTCGATCTTCTCATTGGGAAGTCCCTTGCTGGGAGAGCGGCCATTGTCCAAGAAGACCAGCCGGGGCGGGAAAGGGAGGAGAACGCGACGGTGTTTCTGCCTGAGGGTCATGACGGAGGCGAAGAAGAAGAAGAACAACAAAAAGATGAAGAAGGAGGAGGAGGAGGGTTCTTTTTTCAGTCGATCGCCGGCACTGGTTCATCGACCTCCGCCTCTTCTCTGCGCGATTTCCCTCATACGAATATCAAGCCGTCTCATCGAGGAGTTGGAATGCTTCGGCGATGGCTGACGGGATCTCCGTCGCCACCTCGGTCGTCGTCGTCGTCATCATCATCGTCGTCTTCGCCGTCCTCCTCAGCTTCGTCTCGATGTTCTACTACTCCTTGTAAGGACGGAAGGGGGAAGCAACAACAATCGCACACTCCCGGCAGCGTCCAGTTTGCGGAAGCAGGTTCGCCGCCCCTCAGTACCGTGAGTTCCGACGATCAGGGTTCGATCCCTAGCTCTGCGAGTCCTCCTGTTTCGAGGAGTCTGGCGACGGTGTCGTCAGTGCCACCTCCGGCGAGTCACCATGTAAGCAGCAACGGTTCTCAGCCGCAGCCGGCGCCTGCAGGGGCGCAGCGGAACCGCACGGATCCTGGGCATCACGAACAGACGCAGCAGCAGCTGCCGGTCGGACCGCCGGGCGAGATCAAATACGAACCTCCGGCGAGAATCGGGGGGGGAGGGGACACGTCGTTGTCGAACGAGCAATCGAGCGGGGAAGAGGGGGGGGGGGGGAGGGGGGCCGCGAACTTGAGCGGGGAGGGGGGAACGATGGGGGACTTTTACGGATCGAGAAGCGGAATGGTGAGGACGGAGGAGCTGAACAAGTTGTCGGTGGTCTTGGCGGCGGCGTTCGCGTTTCTCTTCACGTTGATGATAGCGCTGTTTTGCATCTGCTGGTGCATGAAGCTGAAGAAGACGCGGCTGAGCGGGGTGTCCAGGTCGGGATCGTCGCCCTTCTCGGAGTTGAAGGACAAAGGGGGGGTGTTTCCGATAGGCGGGGGGATGGGAGAGTGGCAGACGCTCTCGGTGCACCCGTCGCCGAACACACACCTGCCGCCGGGCCACATGTTCATGGGGTCTCCCGGGATGAACGGGCGAGTGTCGTACGACGCCAGATCGCTGGGATCCATTGCGTCCTCGTTGGGACCGCCAGCGGGACAGAACAACCCGTCGGGATGGGGAACCTGGTACACCTACCAGGACCTTCACACTGCCACCGACGGGTTCGATAACAAGAATGTGTTAGGGGAGGGCGGCTACGCGGTGGTCTACAAAGGCAAACTCGACGACGGATCCTACGCGGCAGTCAAGTACATTCGCAATACCAAAGGACAGGCTGAGAGGGAATTCCGCGTCGAGGTGCGTCTTATTCCTTTCCTTTTCTCTCTCCACCTACATCCATACATTCATACGTACATACGTACATTCGTGATCATCTATCCATCCATCCACCCATCCATCCATCCATCCATCCATCCATCCATCCAATCAATCCATCAATCCATCCATCAATCAATCAATCAATCCAATCCACCACTCAAGCAACCATAACCAATCAAAGAACTAGGCAAGCAACCAACGAACTGATACTACCTGCTGCTCGTCTTATCCAGCTCCGCTTCCCGTGCCTTTTCTTTCCCTCAGCGCGAGCGAACGCCAAGCAATTCAAGTTCTCCGACAACTCTTGCCGCTATTCGGATTCGACTTCCAAATCCAGCCCCAGCTCCTACCTTCTTCCCCCGAATACAACGTACTGTCATTATAGCTGCATTTGAGGCATCTTTCAGTCTAGATACAGCTATAATGACCGTAAGTTGTATTCTGGGGAAGAAGGTAGTGCGACCTAACTCCCAAGCGCAGTGTTAAACTTCCCAGATCGATCTCGTCTTTATTTATTTTTCTTTCTTTAAACAACACGCTCAGCCCCTTCAGTTCGCACTCTAGGCCAGTTCCCAAGGTGTCAAACCCAGATCAGACCCCACCGTTAACCTCCCGCTCCATTTTGCCCCCCATCTTTTCTGGGTCCTACCTCTTGAGCTCTTGTAGTTGATCTAAGTGCAGCTGCATTTCTATCTCCGACTCCCGCGGGAACAATTCCTGATTTAACTCCCTCCCTGCTTGCTGATGCCTTGCTCCACTCTCTCTCTCTCTCTCTCTCTCTCTCTCTCTCTCTGTGTCTTTCTCTCTCTGTTTCTCTCTGTGTGTCTCGCTTTCTCTCTTTCTCTCTCTGTCTTTCGTTAGGCAGACGCGCACGCACGTAGGCTCGCAAGCGCGCGTGCACACGTTAACACCCGGCCTTTCCATCGAATTTGTGCCTTTGTATATGCACCTCACATTAATGACACGGTCGTCTCTCTTTCCTCGTTGCTTTCTTGTTTCCATCGGTTCTAGCACTTCACCGTCTTGTCTGCTCTCATCGTCTTCCCCCCCCCCCCCCCCCCCCCCCCCCCCCCCCCCCCCCCCCCCCCCCCCCCCCCCCCCAGCGCGCCCCCCCACGCACGCACGCGCACATTAGTCCCCTCGACCGTAGGCGTAATGCGATGGCCGTCCCTCTTTCCTCGTTGGTGATTTCTGGTCGGTTGCAGCGCAGTACATAAGCAGCGTGTTCACTTTCAGTTGTGATATCCGGTTTTTCTGTTCGTCTGCTGCTTATCTGACTTGTTCTCTTGTTTGTTCCTCTGTTACGAGTCTTCCTTCCTCCCTTCCTCCCTTCCTCCTTCCCTTCCTCCCTTCCTTTATTGTTTTGCTGGATATGAAGCGGCAGTCAACCCGCCGAAGCTGTGGATTTGTACTCTCTACTTTCCAGCTCTCCGTCGTCTCCCGCGTGTTCATAAAATGTCGGTCGCTCGCCGTTCCTCTTACTGTTATGTTCGGTCCACTACCTGTGTGTTTGTATTTGTTACTGTATGACCCTGTTCATAAAATGTCGGTCGCTCGCCGTTCCTCTTACTGTTATGTTCGGTCCACTACCTGTGTGTTTGTATTTGTTACTGTATGACCCTGTATTTTACTGTGTGTGGGTTCCTATTTGTTGCGGTATGAGCCCACTATCGTACTGTGTGTTTCTCTTTGACACTGTTTCTATTTGGTACTGTGTGTTTGAATTTTGGGTTTCACTGGTGTTTGTATTTGTTACTGTGTGTTTCTATTTGTTGTGGTATGAGCCCTCTTTTGCCTCTGCGGTCGTGCGGCGCAGGAATCACCCGTCGGCTTCCTGGCTTTCCTTTCGTTTTTTTCATGTTTGAGTCACACTGGGTATCTATTTCGCTGTGTCGGGCGCGTTGGTCTCATACAGTATGTCTTTGATGTTTTTTTCCCCCCGAGCCTGTCGATTGTGTGACAAACATCGTCGGCCTTGGCCGGTAAATATCTGTGCCGTCCCCGGCGTTATGCTACGCTATGCTATGCTATGCTCTCATTACAGACGATTCTGTGTTTGGGGTGGGCGCAGGTCATATGTCGTACCCTCTTCTATGATGCGCGGTACGGTACGGTAGCTATAGGCGGTCCGAACGATCGCCGCCAGCACCCGCAGTTGCCTTTTACGCTGCCTGTTTTCATTTCTCGATTTATGCGTGTCATCCTTGAATGCGTAGGGACCATGCCATGCTAAGCTTCTCTGTATGGTCCCAATTATAACGGCTGTCCCGAAGGAGCTGCTGCGTGTTCCCCGGTCTGCCCGCCCGGTGATCTTTGAATTTCGCTTCCCGCGGTGCCTCCTCCGCTCCCTTTTGTATCGCTATAACCTCCTCCTCCTCCTCCTTTCCACTCTTCTCCCTTCTCCTGCCTTCTTTCCGTTTCCCCTCTCTCTCCCTGGTTTGCGGGGCCGAACGCGAGGGCCAATGCCACGGATTCGAGACCTCTCTCTCTCTCTCTCTCTCTCTCTCTCTCTCTCTCTCTCTCTCTCTCTCTCTCTCTCTCTTTTTCGCGGGTAGTCATCCGCTCCCCGATCCATCAGACGCACAGGTGAAGATGGTGTGCGGAGGAGAGGCGGGGGGGGGAAGTGAACCGCACCCCAAGCCCCCCGCTCTCAACCTGCAGGCCAGCTGGGGTTGCAAACGCTGCGGAACGTCAGCTTCCTGGTGGGAAAGAGCGGGGGGCAGATTTCTACTAGGAAGGATCGTGCTTCTCCGTGCGTTCCAGGGAGTCGATCTGTAGACGTAATCCTTCCTCCCAGAGACGAACAATCCGGGCAAGCGGCCACGCCCCAGGCACCCGGGCAAGCGGGTCTTTGCCCGGGTTAGGCGGCTCTCCTCTTCTCGCTGGGAGCTGAAGGAGCGATTTGTGCAATAGTGCATTTGCTAGTTTTGATTGAGTTTTCCTTTTTTTTTTTTTGCCTTACGGTAATAACAAGCAAACAAACAAACGAACAAACATTCGTACCCTTGTTCATTCAATCCTTCTTCCTCCCCACGGGCGGATTGTGCACGCGGCAAAGGGCCGGGTCGAGGAGAGCTGAGCAGTGTCGAGTGTTGTCGAGGAGGGCGGGAATGGGCTCGAGCAGCACTTCGGATCTAGCAATGCAGCAGCTGTAGAAATCTCCTTTTCTCTGAAGCGCGGAGCAGTGCGATTATGGAGCGGGCATCTGCACGCAGAAGGTGGCAATATGCATCTGCTACTATTTATAGTAGCCGATGTATATATCCACCAATTGCGTGAAGCTGCACTGGTCGCATAGGGGACGTACTCGCACCCACGAGGGTTGGACATCCTGGATGTACCTGGACCGGATTGGAGCCAGATTCTCTCCTGGATGTGTCTGAGCTGAAGTGGACCCAGGGTCTGTTGAGAGAACGGTGAGGGGGTCGCCACATTACTCACGAGAAAGTAGAGAAAGGTCGAGTGCACATTCACGCAGTTGGTGGATACATGCATCGGCTACCATAATCTTGCCACCTTCTGCGTGCAGATGCGCTCGACATTTTCGCGTCCGCCCTCTCTGCCTACGATTCATCGGGCAGTTTCTCGATGACGAAATGTACATATGTTTGTGTATATACGTGTACGCATATGATGCTCTTATGTTTGTTGAGTAGTACTGACTGCGAAGGCAGGCAGTGCAATGCCTGGACATGGCCAGCTAGTCCCGCACATTCCTTTTTCATTGTTTGCGTGTAGAGGAGAAATGTTAGTGTTTCTTTGCTTCATCAATGGGGTAGAATATTGGCCTTGCGACCTATGTCTCGAAGAGGCGTATCCAGTGATAGTTTTCTGTTTTTCTTTTTGAGTATCTTTTCATAGTATTGATGACGATGGTAGCAGCGTATGCTTGCATGCTTTTCTTCAGGGGGGAGCATTGAGCAGTCGTTTACCACCCCTGGACGGTCAGTCTGTACTTTCTTGAAAGGCCTCGGGGAAAGAGAAGGTAGGGGGGGCAAACCTCGAAAGCTCGACAACCTGGGGTCAGGCTACCTAGTTTGGTGTCCCCATCCTGTTGTCCGTCCGACCTACCTCGTTCCCTCGAGCATACCGTCCTATTATCATGACTGTATGTGGTCAGGATACAGCCTGTATACAATCGTCAAGTTAGAGAGTTATGCAAACTGATCTCACAATATTATTTGTTTATATCGTCAAACAGATATATGTATATAGTCATAGAGAACGGCCCGGTTGAGAAATTGAATGATTTCAATGCGTCTTTGTTTTTTTTATTTTTATCCTTTGTTCAGTGTAAAAAAATTATAAAACACTGAAAGAAATAAGAATGCACTAAAACAAAGAAGAAGAAGACACTGTTTTCTGTCTTTCCGGTTTAGCTGTCTCTTTGCCTGTCTGTCCTTTCATTTTTCTTTTCTTTGCTCATCTTATTTCTTTTTCTACTTCACGTGTTTGCACTCTTAGTCAATAGTTCTGTGATAATATATATGTGTATATACAGCCTCCTGATGAGTCGGTGAAACTCCGACGAAACAGTTTGTCACAGCCCCTCGTTTGTTGTCCTCTTCTCTCTCTCTGCCTACGGTTTACCGGGCAGTTCTGTTTGTGACGATATATCTGTATCTATATCTATATCTATATATATATCTTGTTGTCCTCTTCTCCCTCTCTGCCTACGGTTTACCGGGCAGTTCTATTTGACGATATATCTATATATATGTGACGATATATAGTCAAACAGATCTGCCCGGTAAACCGTAGGCAGAGAGGGAGAAGACGATAACAAACGAGGGGCTGTGACAAACTGTTTCGTCATAGTGACGATATATATACGTATATATTGTCACAGAACTATTCGTCAAACAGACCTGCCCGGTAAACCGTAGGCAGAGAGGGAGAAGAGGACAACAAACGAGGGGCTGTGACAAACTGTTTCGTCGGAGTTTCACCGACTCATCAGGAGCGCCCACTCAGAACTC